CTCCAAGAAATCCAAGCCTGTGAATCAGAGTCAGAATCTGGGAACAACAGTAAGATGGAGGTCAGGCTCCTGTGGAGAATTCCTCTTGTCTTCGTCCGCAGACTCAAGGGTGCAATTTGTGCTGCAGAAGCTATAAAACCGCAAGTTTGTTTCCAAACAACTGATGTATTTTTGTGCTTTGCTCCCACTTACTCCTTGCAAGTGAAGGTTGTGAAGTCATTTTGTTTTTACTCTGTTCAGATCAGTCTATGAGAGGGTAGTTACCACCTTATGCCATTAGAAGGGATGGTGGGTGGGTTTGGATGTTTTCTGGAGTTGGTTATATCACTGGTCTCAGTTAGATGGCTGCTTGCCTGGTGTTTTCCCAGCTGGAGTTTCTGGGAATTTTTCTTCAGTTATTTTTAAAGAACATTTGTAGGCATCACTGAAATTCAAATATTCAGTGTTTACTGAGGATAAGAACATTTTCTCCAGAGTGCCTTCCCTGTAGACAGTGAAGTTTTTGACACTAATCAGCTGTATGGTAGGAGTCTGGCCTCCTGTATCAGAAGCTGAATTAGCAGAGAAATGAGTATACAAAAAAAACCCAAACAAACAAATAATGCTCTACCACAATTTATAGATAATTTTAAGCACAAATAAAGAAGAATTTTTGACTTGGGAGAAGTGAAGTATTTTAGTTACCTGTTAACATGGATGGACCCAATTTTTCTGATATACCAGGCACTGGGAAAATAAGCTGTGGTTCATTGTGACCTGAGCAAAATGAATGGTGAGATGTGACTCCCACAGAAAGAACATAGTATCAAAAGTTCAACAAATTAAAGCTTAAAAGTTTTTCAGATGACCAAACTGTTAAACCAACTACTTTGTTCTTAGGAATGACTTCTGAGGAAACTTGCTTGTGAGTTCTTTAACTCCTTTGCTTTTTTGGAACCTGCTGTGACATCATAAAGTTGATTGGCAAAGAACAGCTTTGTTTCTATCCTTTGACAGGGAGCAAAGCAGTGTTATTGTTGGGTGGCATTAGTGCTGCTAGTTGGGATATCAGCTTCCAGCCAGCAGTGTCTATATTAGATGTCAGCATTGGAGAGAACCTGTGGGACAATTTGTACATCTCTCACTGACAGTTTTAGATTCCACCTTGTGTGAGTTGTGTCACTGTTGAGTCTTTGATGGCCAGTGGTAATTTCAGTCCTAACTAAAGCATAAAGCAACAACCAACAAAGACTTTCACTGCATCTTTGCAGGAGTTTGAGGTGAAGTGTGTTCAGAAACCCTGTAGATGGTGCTCGCTGCATCTCTTTTGGGGGGAAAACCAATGTCAGCTGGGCAGAAGATTGTGAAAATTTGGTACACAATGTCTTCAGTTAGTTGTTTAATACCAAATAATGTCTAAACCAGATTGTAGCCAGGATACCTCTACTTAATCTTTTGATCTGTGCAGAGTTTGCTTTAAAGCTTCTCAGAATTGCTTTCTGTGCAAGAAGTTATCAAAGATTAGACAGTTCTTTGTTGCTTGACAGTTAATGTCCTAGCTCTGAACAGGCACAACTTTAATCAAGTTGTTTTATGGAGGAAAAGAGGGTGAGATTAATCTATCTTTTTTATGGAGGAAATCTTTGGCATGCTATTTTTGACATAGTCGAGAAGCTTTAAAGGGAATTGATGTTCCCCAGGCAGCTGTTAGCCAAAATGTTTCTTTGGAAACTTTGCTTTCACCTACCTCTGGAGGGATTTAACTTGGTAGGTAATGAAAATCTGATTATTTTTACAGAACAGACAAAACAAAAATGGGGCATTCACTGATGAGGTGTGGAATAGCATGTCAGGGTTGACTCTGGAACATAGATATGGTGATTCAATCCCCAGTACCACTGCTGAGGTCAAGTACAGCTACCCTAGCAATTGGAAAGTGATACTAGCAAAATAAACCAGCTGTCCTGCTCTTGGAACAAGAGAGGGAAAGTAGCAGAGATGTTCACAGACCCAGCATCCAGTTGAATATTACTTAAGCCAAATCACTGGTAGAACTGCAAAATGTTTGGGCAGCAGAAGGGCTCTGGTGTTGGATAGGGATGATTTCATCTTGAGTTTCAAATAAATGTGAGAGGGAGTGATATTTCCTAGGATGCTGGTGACTTGCAGTTAGATGCATCTGTTTCATGATCTGGAACCTTACTACTTCCCCTGCTTCCTAGGAAACCTCATTATTCCTGTTTTCTGCTGAATAAATTGCAAATAAACAAAAAGTGTAAGTGATTAATTGCAGGAGTACTTGAGTCACTTTAAAGAGTTGATTGCAAAATCCCTGAATCATTTGAAGGTTGAGACTAGACAAGAATATTTCTCCTTTTGTTTATCCTAACTGCTGACAGCCTGATTGCTTCTGGGAAGCAATATTTTCCCTTTCTTAAAAACAGGAGGAGGGATAGGTCACCAGATTTATCTGAGGGTTGGAAACTAAGTGACCTTAATGGAAGATGCTTTGCCATTAACCGCAAACCTGCCTGTTGTTTAGGAGCCAGGTCTCCTGCTTCAGCCTGTTGCTTAAGGTTGGTGGTCTGAAGGTCAAGGGAGGAGCTGAGTCCAAAACCTTTCTGGATTCCTCCAGCTGATGTTCTCCTTTAATAATGTGGGAGTGTGGGTTCATTTTCAGGTTGCAGAAAGGACATTGGTGTACACTGACCATAAACACAAGCTGGAGAAGTCAGAAGTGACGTTGAACTGTAGCATAAAACTTGTGTGAGTGGTGGATGCCAGGACCTGCTGTAGTTTTTCCTCCTATAAACTATATAAACTTTTTTTCTACATGAACTTTCTGAATGTATTTGACATGGTGGCTCATCAGTAATGACAAAGTGTTAGTGCTGCCTGGTGCTCGTTGGGCCAAGGTTGTTTTCTGATGATGGTGCTTAAGCACCCGTGTTTGAAACCTCTCTGTCTTGCTCTGTATCCAGTGTTCTCTGCCAGCAGCCTCCTCCGAGAGCTCAGGGACTTGAGTACAGAGATTAGTTTGTTCCTCCAAGTTGGAGTTAAGCAGCAGTGGGGGACAGTATGGGGAAACTTGGAGAGCTTCTTTCTGTTTCAGGCTGGAAGGCTGTGACCATTTAATTCCTGTTCAATTGACATATCTGCCCAAGAGGAAGAGCCCTGTACTCTGCTGTGTTTGACTCTGGCAAGCCCACATGCAGCACAGGGACGAGATCCCGAGCCTGCTTTCATCCATGTATCTCCTGGGTTGGTCTGTAGAAGTCATTTGTGTTACTTCACCCTCAAAGTGATGAAACTAAGTTTGGGATTTGGCTGTCTGTCTGCAGAGGAGGAGGGGAGCAGAGGGAAGAGACATTTCTCTGTGAGTCTGCAGCGCAAGCCAAGAGCTCTGTGGGAAGGTCCGAGCTAATGCTCCCCACTGGCTGCCTTGGCTTCAGCTCATGCCAAGCCCTTGCAGCAGACTAGACACAAAAGAAAACACACAAGAGTCTAAATTCATTGGTATGAAAAGGATGTGCCAGAGTATTCCACAGCTCTTCCTTTTCTGCTTCTCTTTGGTAACTGTTAATTTGCATAAAACCATGGATTATTAAGGGTATTTTTTTGTTAACTTTTTTTAAGCATAACTCAGCTCAGTGTTTAATGCCTGGATTGCCCCGTGTCAGATCTGAGAACTTGTTCTGAAGCTTGCTAAAGGCTGTTGAAAGTTTCTCCATGCCATTAATGAGCTATAGGTAAGACAACATAGACCTAGAACTGGCTTCATACCTGTAGCAGGGGTCGGGTAGGAGGGGAAATCCATGCTTGAGCATGTGTTTGAATTCCAGTTCTCATCCAGCTCACCTTTTTGTGATCTCTCGGTGGAAATTTTAGCATTGGAGGCTTGCTGGCTTACCTGCACCCTAGAAATTTATTGGCAGTGGTGTGTTTGGGTGTAAACACAGGATGTCTTTTGTGCTGGTGAGATCCTTGATTCCGTGCTAGAAGTAGCGGGGGGGTTGATAGGACAACTTAATAGGTCACTTGGGAGGTGGATCACTGTCTGTCTAACCCCTTCTGTGGCCAGCTGGACCTTCAGCTAACAGATGTGCTACTCTGCTTGTTGCTGCCTCTCCACATCTCGAACTGGGGACAGATTCCCTGACACCATGGCCAAGCCCTGGACCTGAGGGAGCACCAAGCCAACCACCCACCAAACCCCACTCACCCATACCCAGGATGAATCTCACATTGATAAAGCTGACACCTGTTTGGGAACAGAAAGGTGAATTTTTGCAGGTTATTTGCTCAGTTCTACGCGTGGTTTACTCAGGCACGTCAAACACAAAAGCAACACAGCATTGTCAAAGTTACAAAATGACTTGTTTTTATTAACCTACCCTATCATAGAGCGTGGATTTTCTTGTCAAATAATGCAAGAAGCAAGAGAAAACTGTAGTTTTATCCATGTGGAACCTACAAATCCACATGGCTTCTCCGTTCTACCGAGCATGTGAGTTTGAGAAATGCAGTTGCCGGTAGTTTAGCTTGAATACAGTCATTCTAAAACAAGCTAGAAATAAATAAAATACTTACATTTCAAGTACAAAACCTTGCAGTTGAATTCAGTATGAGGAAATGAGTTTATTCCTTCACATGTTACCAACCACTGTACAGGTACTTGGGCTGGCAAAGTCTGCAGATGCAGAACGAAAGGATGTTTTATGTACATGACTTAATTGAATTGTGTGTGTTTAGTCTTCCCTGTAGGCTATCATGTGAAGCTGTTTAATGTCAGGCAGAAAGAAGATTTGTTTTTTATGGATGCATTTAATAAGACATGAACGCACTACCCCAATTTTTACCTTATGTCTTTCCTTTCTGGTGAGAAAAAAAAGTGCACCTTAATTATGTCTCAAAAATAATGACACCTACCAGCTTTTAATTAGGTTATTAGCCAGGTAGATGTTGCTTTTGAATTATATTTAATCAAGTGTAAGCGACTTTACCAAGGCTCCTAGACAGCTCTAGTATGTAGGAGAACGTTGACCTCTCATTGGGATCCTGCTTTGGGCCATGCGGCGGTTTGCCGGCTGCCTTCGGTACGCAGGGCTCTCCCCTGGCAGAACCAGTATGGACTGCTGGCCCGAGTTCCTCTGAGACTGGGTGATGCTTTGCTCTGCCGTGCTCCTCTCCGAACAGGTGAAAGTCAACCCAACGCCAACGTTGCTCTTCATTGTTCTGGAGGTGCCATCGGACGTGCCATCGAAACATCTACCCAGGGCGATTTCCTTGGCGATCCTCGGGTCTTGGTCAGTGACGGTGTAGATGCCATAATTGTGTCCCAGTGGGTCGAGAGGAGCCAGCATTGTGTACTCACTGGAGTCGTTGTTTGTAGCCATGGGGAGGTGGTTCACCAGGTACTCGTGGAGCATGCTGTTGACGCTCTCGCGACGGCAGCTGCCTTGTGGGACCACTTTCACGAGTGTGCGATCCACACGGTCTTGGTCAAAGAGCATCCCGCTGCACTTGAACTCCAGGCAGGCTGCTGACACGTTGGGCTGCTCCGAGTCACGGATGCTGCGGACATCCCTGATGCCGTAGAGCTTACCAATGGTACGGGGATGCGTCCCACCCATGTTACGAGACCTTACGTTCACTTCTTGGGGTCCATTTATTTTTACTTTAATGTAGCAGGCCCTAAATTCCATGGGCTTGGGCCACCACGCTAGGTAGTCATCAGTCCAGCTCATGAGATCATCTTCACTGAAGGGAACGGTGTTGTAGTCATACCGGTCTCCCTCTATCCTGTAAAACCTGAAGTGAGCGGCGTTGTATGGAGCTTCCTCACATTCTCTTAGGTTTTCATAAGCATAAATAGGGCCGTTGTTCTCCTCGGGGGAATTGGAGCTTGGCTTGGCCATGTTAATGCTGAACGCTGTTTTCTTGGTGTTGGAGTCCTCATGATCTGTTCTCCTGTAGTTGAGCTTGTTGAGGTACGACTGTGGGACTCCAATAGCGTTAGGGTTGAGTTTAGGAGCAGAAGACACAGCTTCGAGCTCTTCACCCCCAAGGCTTGCCAAGAGATAAGCTGAGTAGGCCTCGGGGTTTTGCTCGTCGCAGAAGGCGGGCACGCAGGCGCCGTTGGGACCAGTGACCACGCTGTCAAAACGGCCCCACGCTCTGGGGTTGGAGGAGAACCCTGCTTCTGGCTCCATGTTTATAACAGAAATGACAACCCCTTGGATCTGCTCACTTTGCAGAAATCTCTCGCTTCGATACGCCCGGACTTTGACGTAGCAGCGTCTGCTCTCTGGGACATCCAGGTTAAAAAGCCGCCTTTCTTTGATCTCCATGTTCCCAACCAGGAAAGTTCTCTCCTCCCTTTTACGCCGTCTACTTTTCTCAAGGTTGAAGTCCCCTTCTTCTTCCCATAATCCTGTCTCTGGGTTTAGTGACCACAGCTTCATCTCTTGCAGGTGCTCTGACATCTTGACCTGAGTAGCATCCAAATGAACTTTCACCTCCTCTGCGTTAAGAGACTCGGTGCCCTGTTCATCAGTGAAGTCCACGGAGAACATGCCGTACGTACGGAGCGGGAACACGTCTCCTTCCTCATCTACAAAGTTCAGGTCACTTTGTGTCACAGCAGCTGTTGAGATGTTTCTTGGATCCAGAAATGTCACACTGGCTTTCACTTTGCCTCTGTAGGCTTCTCCATTTTTCCTATAAAACGCATCGGGAGGGATTTCTAATTCGGCGATGGGATCATCTTCCATTTCTCCCAAGGAAATCACGTTGGTTTCGGTGGATTCCAGCGTAACAGGGGCTTTCTTTCTTAGTAGCTTGATCTCATGAAACACAGCACCTCCGTTTTCCTTGAAAGGCAGAACTTTTGTTGTGTTCACAAACTTCTGCAGCCGGTCAACGAAAGTTAGAACCAGTCTCTCTGTATCTGCTGGGACGTGGATGGAGAAGGTTCCCTTGTAACCAGTCATACTCACTCTCTTGTTCCCCATGTAGATGTGGCCAAACCTCAGTGGCTCACCATTATCTGCTGCTGTGGCTCTGCCTCGAACTGTTATTTTGGTCTCGGTGCATTTTTTGCAGCCACATTCTACAACAACTTTCGTGGGGAGCGTGTACCCGTTGCAGGAGATATCTCTGGTTTCCATCTTGGACACCCCACAGCAGTAGGCAATGTTGTCCTTACACCGGAGTCCCTTATCCAGTTTCCCAGCACAGGTCTTTGCTGGGCATTTGCCCACGTCGTAGTAGAAGGAGTTGGTTTCTTTTTGGAAGCAGTCATGCGGAAGGCGGATGAGGTAGCTTTGGGGTTGGGAGTTGCAGGCTGCCTCTTGTCTTCCTGTTGAATAAGATTTCTTAATGAGCAGTGTGTAATAATTGCACAGCCATCGCTACGTGGTCTGAAACCCTCAAAGCTAAACTTTCAATAACGGTGAGGTTTTTTGCAGCCACAAACCAGATGTTTTCATAGAATCATAGAAGGGTTAGGGTTGGAAGGGACCTTAAAGCTCATCCAGTTCCAACCCCCCTGCCATCAGCAGGGACACCTTCCCCTAGACCAGGTTGCTCAAAGCCTCATCCAGCCTGGCCTTGAACACTTCCAGGGAGGAGCAGCCACAGCTTCTCTGGGCAACCAGTTCCAGTGTCTCACCACCCTCACAGTGAAGAACTTCTTCCTAATATCTAATCTAAACCTCCCCTCTTTCAGCTTAAACCCATTTCCCCTTTAAAGGTCCTTCCCCAGCTTTCTTGTAGCCCCTTCAGGTACTGGAAGCCACTATAAGATCTCCCTGGAGCCTTCTCTTCTCCAGGCTGAACAGCCCCAACTCTTTCAGCCTGTCTTCATAGGAGAGGTTTTGCAGGATTTTTGGTTAGCTCAATTCATCTACCCTCCTTTTTGGTGAAGCAAGTGCTCAGCTTTAACTTTAGGTACCTTATTAAAAGCACCCACCACTGCCATCCAGCCCACCTTCAGCTAGATGTTCTGCAGCTGCCTGGCTTTTTGGCTATAGACAGACTAAAATGTATCCCAAGTTTAAATAAAAAAAACAAACCAACAAAAAAAGACCCTAAACAAACAGAAACATTCACATCAGGCAGCAAGTACAGCGAGAAATCTGCTGAAACCAGCAGACTGAGCTTGGCAGGTCACCTGGAATCCAGAGCTCCAGTTTGTAGAGAGCATTTGGTTCACAACCAGCTCACGCAAGCTTATCTGCTAACAAATGTATTAAATAAACCCCAGACATTTCTCCCGTGACTTTTCTTTCCTGCATATATCACAATTCCTGCTTTCTGCACCCCGCCACCTCCCCAGCTGCTTGGATTGCATCATGCACCTCCTCCCTTACCTATGACAGCAAGTTTGGCAGGTTGGGACTTCGCCGACCCCCCGGCACTGCTGGCCTTGCAGAAATACTCTCCTGACTGGTCTCTGTTCAAGTTCTTCAGAATCAGGTTGTTTTTATATTTGTATAAGGAAGGATCCAGCAGTGAGCCGTTGTGGTACCTGCCAGGAACAGGCAGGCAGTTAAGGGAACAGAGGCTGATTGCCTGGCTGGAGCAGAGCGATGGCCTAATCCTGCATCCTGCCATGTGGATTTGGCCAGACCTCTTGCCTCAGTTGCCCCATTTGTAGTCTGACTAGGTGGCAACACCTAAAAATTATTCCCCTTCCCCTGGCAGTACTGAGATGTGGCTGCTGGGCAGCTGGCAGGCAGGCAGAGCTGCCAGTTGTGTCTGTTGAGGTTTTTTCAAACTCTTTATTTGTATGTTTTTCCAGTGAGTCCCTCGGCAGATGACGTTACCACACCCGTGAGAAACGCCAGCTCTGCGCATCTCGAGGAAACCAGCATTTGCAGCAATTGGTTCTCAGCGTATTTAACTGTTTTATAGCTAAAAACCCACCTTTATGGAGATGGTAAGGAGATAAAGATTGAATCTGTGGGACAGGTAAGACTTCTGTCTGATCAAATGTGAGTTCCTTACCAGAGGTAGCGGTCAGGGGCTGGGCTACCGCGGGCATCGCAGCAGAGTGACACGCTCTGTCCCACTCTCCTGGCTTTGTCTTCAGGGCTCCTGAAAATGTAGGGTTTGCCTGTGGAAGGAGGAAAAGACCATCTTATTCCTCTTCCCCTCCTAAAATTATGGTTTATTTCTGATTACTGCATAAAGCTTCCTGCATTCCCCTCCTCTTTGGGGTTACCTGATCGCTGCAGCTGCACTTGGATTGCCAGGTTTCTTCTGGTGCTCTCAGGCACGGTGACAGTTGCTGTTGCATATTTGGCTTTCTTTATTTTAAGGGTGTTTTTACCATCGGGACAAACCCCCGGGATCCTAAACATGCCCCTGTTATCAGCTGTTGTCAACAGCTTGAGTTTCTCAGCTTGCAGGTAGACCCGGGCATCGGCAGCGGGTGACCCATCCTCGAGAGAGACCTTCCCGTGTAGGGTCGCATCCTCACACATGCAGGCGTCACAGTCAGCGTTGACACGGCCCATGGGGCAGGTGATGTTGCAGGCTGGAGGAGAGGCAAGCAGGTCAGAAAGCAACCCCAAGTCCCCCCCTAACTCTCACAGCATGGTCTCGCATCTGCTTTTAATTTAGATGCAATAAGGCAGATACTGCATGAGGAATAAATTGTATCCAAAACATATTTTTGCTGATTATCAACAGCTGTTGCATTAGAAACACAGAGACGATGTCATTTTGAACCTGACAATTAGTAGAAAGCAGCCACGTGGATATAATTACAGCTAGAACTGTTATTTACCTTCCCCAAAGGGTTGAATTTCGGGGAAATTTGAATCCAGATCCGTATGTGAGCTCTTAGCTCAACCCTGGCAAAATTACAAATCCAAATGCCTTAAACTTTCTAGGTTTCTGCTACAAACTCATGCCCAAAAGTTATGATTTTAGTCTATCTTAAAAGCTGTCTTCCCTCATTCAATGGTATCCTGGCTTGGGCAGGACATAGGTTAATTGCCAAAAGAACATGGATTTAACTAATAGTCTCCCAAACAGTGATTCTGAAACATTTTCATTTCCTATAGTGATTAATCCTGAATAATAATCTGTTTCTTCCCAAGGCAAGAGCTCAGGTCATTCCTTTTACAATCACAGAGCATCCTTGTGCAGCAGCTACCTGATATTTATTTTTATAGCTGGAAATAAGTGGAAGAAATCAAGGAAAACCTGGAACAACTTTCCTGGAGAAAACATAGACTATTTTCAAAATAATTTGTCTAAAAGGGGATTATAAGAATAATATAATTAATTACAAACCCCCTTCAGCAGGGGCTGTGGCAATCTGATATTCCCAAATCTTCTCCTTCCTGGAGACTGCATGGAGGCAGCTGCCTGCAGTTGCTGACTCCACCTTGAGAGCTGCTGTTATAACAAGATTAATGAGATTTTTCCTATATCCCCAGAATCTTTATGGGTCCCTGATGATTCCTCTTATCTGGACCCCACTCTTATCTTGCTATTTGGCTATAAACTCCCTGTGCTTTGCTCCCTTAGTGCTCTCCAGCCCTACTCAGGAAGGCACCAGCATCATGAAATCCTATCAAGGGAGAGAAAGATGGTAAAATGAGAGCGAAGGGAGTACAAGGTGAGACCAGGACATCATCCCCCTGCCCTTAAATGAGGTTATAGGAGCACCTGAGCAAACATGTCCAATGCAGAGCCGCCCTTCCTCGGTCACTTCATTACAGTGCGTGCCCCAAAGGTGCTCAGCTAGGCAGGATCTGGTACGCTTCTGCACACCGGTTTGGCCACATTTTCCTGAGCACTCGCTCCATTTCGACCATGGGGACAAAAACCTTTTTGAATCTTGCACCAGCGGACCTTGAATAACATCAGTGGCGTGTTACTGAGGCGCACGTTACACGAGCAGCCGCCTGAAAACAGCCTCTTGTTTTCTCAGCAGCTTCTCTAAGCGTTTGGATATTACGCACCACATGGATTTAAACAAACTCAAAGCATGTTCAGGGAGCTGGGAAATAAAGCAGAGGAAGATGTCTTAAAGGCTTCTGACTTAATTCCCTGCAGGCTACCAAATTCAGGATGATTAAGATAAACTGGAAGGGAGCAAAGTGCATGGCAGCTCATGCTTAGTGTTGAATAACTTTGGCTTAAAGGAAATCAAATACACATTGTCATTTAAATGCTGGCTGAGGGGCAACACTCACCCACTTCAAATGTGGTTAAACTTAAAACAAAACCCCAAACCAACACCAAAAAAAAGGGTAAAATTGTTGGTACGATCATGTTGAATGTTTTTAACCATACTCCAACATATGTTCTCTATAGGGGAAGCGTGTGTCCTATTGCAAGCACCAGTTTTACTGTGTGCAAAACAGAAGGTTAAGATGCTACCGAGCAGGCTGAACATGTTAGGGGCCAGCTGATTTGTAAAACACAATGGGAGTTTATTGAGAGTTTAATATGTGGTTAGATTTTTAAAAGGAATGTCTTTAATAGGCTACTAGATGGTATTAATTTCAGCTGCTTTGAATGGATGAGATCCACTCCAACTCTGTGGTTTGGGGTTTATTTTGAAATGACAATGTTCTAATAATGTTTACGAGGATGCGCTTGGGACTCAAGTTTCTAAGAATGAGAACTTTTGGAAATGTGTGCCATCTTTTCTCCCTCACCTACTTTCCCACCTGATTTGTAATAAACCAGGTTGTGTTATTTTTTAGAAAGGCAGCCAGGCACGCGGCTGGACTATTTGAATAGTGATGGTTGAAAACAAACCCCTGGCTTACAAAAGCAGGTGAGTGGAAAAGACCATTTAAATGAGAGCAGCCATGGGAAGGTCATGACTGGTTTGGAGTGAGCACTTGGTTTAGGTGGGGAAGTTTTTAATCTGTTGGTATGTTGGCAGCTCCAGTTCAGCATCCCAAGTGGTGCATCCATAGATCTTATTTAGCAATTTGGGGAATGCAGGGGAAGGTGGTCCCTTCCCAGGCAGCACATGGATAAATGTCTGTCTGTACTTGTCCCAGGCAAAAATTTATCATGCAACAGAATAAAATGGGGTCTTGGTAAAATCCTAAACTTGTTTGGGATTGGCTGCTTTAATCTGGAAGATCAGGAGGAGGGGAGTCCTGTGGAGGAAAATGGCATTATATGGCTCTGGGTAGCAGAAAAAGCAGAAAGTGGAGGATGGGGGAGAAGCCGAGGGGCTCGAGGGCTGGCAGGGACGTGGGGTGGGACAGGGCTACCCCGCGGCACCGGCCGGCAGGAACCTACTGCGTCTGATGTAGGTGAAGGTCGGGCTTCCCCTGCGAGAGCTGCTCCTTGTACCTGTGGGCAGAGGATGTGTGGGGTGATTCAGGTAGGTCCCTCCTGCCAGCCTGGCTGCACTGAGCCTAGTTTAACCTGACCAGGTCTTGGGACACCCTCTCCTGGAGGCAAAAACTTGAGTTTACAGCTCACTGCTGCCAAGGGCAGACACTTTAATTTCCCATTGCATTGGGAAAAAACTCAAGCTTTTGCTTTATTTCTCCCTAGAGAACCAGGAGTTACCCCCTACTCTGCCAGCCCCAGCCTCAGCCTCACTGCCTTGTGCTGTCCACTTTGAGGGGAAAACAATTTTCCTAGTACTTTTCCTGAAAATATCTCTCAGCAGGTGGACAGGACCTCTCTCTTTCTCTCTCTCCATGTTTTTGGTGCTTTGATTCTTCCCAGTGACTAAGAACGCTGCTGGAAGTGGGATGGGAGGCTGGGAAAGTCCCCTAATCCCTCGGCTATGGCATCAGCACGTCCAGCCCTTTCAGTGCCCGCTGGAATTTAAATCCCGAGCGCTGGGCAGTAAAGCTTGAGGGGTTGGCGTATCTCCTGGGGATTAACAAGCAGAGCGGGCTCTAGGGGCAATTAATGCCCCATGGGATTTAATTCTAAAGCGATGGTGTCACACCCTCCCCTGGGTGTGGGGACAGGGTGAGCAGGGGAAAGGCAAGTCAGAGCTTGTGCTTGCCCATCCCTGGACTCTCCTCGCCCTCCCAGCCCATGCGAATCGGGGCTGTGGTCATGTACTTGACCTTCACTTTTCCAGGAGAGGAGCCAACAGTGTGTGTCAGCGATAGCCAAAACCCTACAGGAGGTCACAGATGAATAACATTTATTCCATTGCCTAAATACCCTCATCTACTCAAATAATATTGCTGGGGTGTAAATTAAGGCTGAAAAAAAAATAATACATGTGCAAACACCCCCTTGTCCCCGCGAGGGAAAGGTGCCCGAGCTGGGAAATAACTTACTCTCCAAGCTGAGCAGGACCAGCGGGCTGAAGGTTTTCTGTCCTATCTGGATCCTGCCGAAGGCTGGTTTCAGAAGTCTTTGACCTAAGAGTCAATAAATTAGAGAATAAATTAGATTAATAATAATAAGTTAATTAAATACAAGGGATTGGGCATCTTTAGGCTCAGGGTTTTTTAGATTTCCCTTTGGGTTGTGGCTGGTTGGAATTGCTGATTAGAGCTCCTGTGGGATGGGGTGCATCACGTGCAGGAGATGCCAAGTGAAGGGTGTGATGGAGATGTCCCACACCATCACTGTGGCTCGGGTATGATGCAAATTTGCAATTTCACTTAGCACCCAAGAAAAGCTTTTTTTGTGTTTTCCGTGTTGCCCAGAACACAGACCAAATAATCTTTTTATAGCTGGAGATATTAAATATTTCCTGCCTCTTGCTGCGCAGGGAGAAATGAACCCGAGGTGGATGAGGCTGAACCTGATGAAGATGGTTGTTGCTATGGGACATGGACTGGTTTCTGCACCTGCTGGCCACCCACATGCCCAAGGGGAGCTGGTGGACATGGTTGGTTCCTGGGGTGCTTGCTGGGACCGATCCCATTTAAACTGGGGAGCTAAGCATGAAGCTCTCACTATGCCCATCTGTTGGAGGCTCAGCAGAGCTCTGGGCACCTACCCAGTGACAAATTAATTCTCCCTGTACTTATCCCTGGGCATCTGACCAGAGCACTTAAGGGAAAAATTCCTCTATAGCCTCAGAAAACAAATCCAAAGAGCCTGCAAACATGTTTCCTCTGCAAGACCTGCTGGAGCAGAGGGGCGGGTTGCGTGTGACCTGCCAGAGCCGGGAGCGGACAGATCCTGATGCCCCCACGCATCTTCTCCTGGAGAAGAGACGTGTCACTGCTTCCTTGGCTTGGGTTGTTTCATGGTTGGGTGATGGGTAAGGCACTGGCCAGGGGCTTCTGCTTGGAGGAGAGGGGAACAGTGATGGGAACCGGGGTGCGGGCTGGACATTGCGGGGTCTCAGGGGTGACAGGCAGGGATGGGATGGTCCCATCACGCCCTGTGGGCAGGGGGCTCATCCCTGGTCAAGCAGCAGCTGGCTGACTGGCAGAGGGGCTTGACCTGTGGTCCGGGGGCTGGATGGGCACCTCATCTGGAAGTTGTTTAACTGGGCAAAGGCCATGCTGACCCCGAGCAGCACCCGGCATCGCTGTTGGGCTCATGTCCGCTGGCTCAGTGGCCACCAGCAGACATGCCTTCATGCCGGCGTGCCCATGGGCAGGGGACAGCACAGTGACAGGAATAGAAACATTTAACCTTCACCTAAAACAGACGTGGCTCCCAGGAGGAAGAGGAGGATCAGTCCTTTTGTGGTGATCATCCTTGTCTCCAGAGGTGACCAGGGGCTTCTTGGAGTATCCCCAGCCGTCTCACGCCTTCCCCAGACCTGCAGAGACAAGCCCAACCATGTCAAGGCTCACGCGTGGTCCTTCAGGGAGCTTCTCCCAGGCTGAACCCATCCAAAACACACCGTGGGGCTGCTTATACCCCCTGCCCATGCACCCACCCCCGGCAACCCCCCGCTTACCCCCAAAGGGGCTCCACATCTGCGCTCGCGTCCCCTCTGCTTCTCGCCGTCACATCTGAGCCCAAATCTATTCTGCAGAGCGCTGCTTTGTAATGACATCTCCTTAAAGTGCCTCTTAACAGCTTAAATACTTCTACAGGGATGTTCCCCCAGCCCATGCGGCTCCACCGGCCCCTTGGCACCCGCTCTGTCCCCGACACGAGCAGGAACATCTCCATATCTCCATCCCTCTGCTTGCAACCTGGGTTTAGTGTGAGGATAGCAGCTTCTCCCAGCACATGCCGGGAGCGTGGGGAGGGGGAAGGCTCCTGAGCACCTCTGAAAGCAGAAAACCCCGTGCACAAGCCAAGCCTTTGCTGCAAAACTGAGCAAGCCAAATATTTCCCTGTTTTCTGCATGCAGAGAGGAGGGACCGAGGCTTTATGTTGCTCTTCCCCAGCTCAGAGACTTCACATTTTGTTTTGAGTCCCTTATCCCTGCGGCATCAAGAATTTGGGTATTTAATTTCTGAAGGTCCCCACGGAGCTGGTGTTAGCCTGAGTGACACCAGCTACCCTTCCAGGTGCTTTATTTTATGCATACAAAATTAATGAACTTGAAGAGAGAGGAGGGGGGAAAATATTGCTTCAGCCTTTCAGTGCCTCAGTTTACCCATAGAATGAAGCTGACAAAGAGCAGGCGGCAAGCGAGAACACCTTGTTATTTGTAAGTGGCATTAAACATCCCCTCCGAGGCCGGGGAATGTGGGACTAGGAAATACTTTGATTATGGCTCAGCAAATCCCAGTCAAGCACAAATAACAAGCAACACATGAGCGGTGTTTTGTGGGCTTACGGCGAGGTCGTGAACTCACAGCCAGACAATAACCAGGAAAAATTAATCCAGGATAAAAGCCTGTTTCCCACTCGGTGGCTATTTTGGGAGCTGGCTGTGACTTGTTCTGTGTTGGGTTTGGGATGGGGTATGTCCCTCTGTCCCTGCGACATGCGATGATGGGAAAAGGGGGGGGTTCAAGCTGGCAGATCCTGGCAGCAGGGAGGGTTTGGCATCACCCACGTCCCCTCTCTTGCAGGGACTGGGGGGATTCAGCATGGAAAAGAATCACTGAGATCAAACAACCCTGCGTGAGCAAAGCACCGTCCCCCCCGAGCCCCCCACTCCACCGTCCCTGTGTCCCTGCATCCCTGCCCCAAACATTCTCTGGGGGGGTTCAAGCTGGCAGATCCTGGCAGCAGGGAGGGTTTGGCATCACCCACGTCCCCTCTCTTGCAGGGACTGGGGGGATTCAGCATGGAAAAGAATCACTGAGATCAAACAACCCTGCGTGAGCAAAGCACCGTCCCCCCCGAGCCCCCCACTCCACCGTCCCTGTGTCCCTGCATCCCTGCCCCAAACATTCTCTGGGATGAGGAGGCGGAAAGGAATCACTGAGATCAAACAATCCCACATGAGCAAAGCACAGTCCCCCCCGAGCCCCCCACTCCACCGTCCCCGTATCCCTGCATCCCTGCCCCAAACATTCTCTGGGATGAGGAGGGAGAGAATTGTTTCTATGCGTCCCCAACAATATTTTCCAGCTCGCAGCTTCTGCACCTTCATCTGCCCATCAATTAATTTCCACCTCCCCCTCAATCACAGCCACTCTTAATTACGCCGCCTTAATAACACAGTGATATTATATAACCGCTCGCTGCGACAAAGGGGAAAAACTTCCCAGGGTTGGGTTAGTTTGGGGTTGTTGTTTTTTTTCTCTTACCTACAAAAACCATAAAAACCCTCAATTTAAGGAGAGTCCCGTCCTCTCTGCGCGAAGCTGCCGGCTGAGCTGCGGTCTGGGGGTGAGGCAAGAGCTTGTCAATGGCGGGTTAAAGGATTTGCAGGCGGTTGGGAAGAAGAAAGAGAGTTGCAGCCTTACCGAAAGCTCCCCTGTGCTGCCGCCGAGCCGGGCTGCGCGCGAGCCTCCCCGCAGCCGAGCCAGCGAGGTGGCTTATATAGCCCGGCGTGTAGCTTAGGGGATGGCAGCGAGCCACCGGCCGCCGAGCTAAACCAGAGCGGCCGAGAGAGGAAACCGCAGGCTGAATAATCCCTGAACAAGGTGATGGTGAAAACAAACCCTGGGAGAAACTGCAGCTGGCAGCGATGCCACAGCGTGGCAGGGCATGGTGTGGGTATCACGTCCCAGTGTGGGTAACCGTGTCCTGGTGTGGGTACTGTGTCCTGGTGTGAGTATTACATCCTGGTGTGGGTATCATCCCAGTGTGAGTACTATGTCCCAGTGTGGGTGCCACATCCCGGTGTGGGTACTACATCCTGGTGTACTACATTCTGGTGTGGGTACCATGTCCCAGTGTAGGTACTACATCCTGGTGTGGGTACTATGTCCTGGTGTGGGCATCCCATCCTGGTGTGGGTACTACATCCCAGTATGGGTACCATGTCCCAATGTGTGTGGGTACTACATCCCAATGTGTGTACTACATCCTGGTGTGGGTATCATGTCCCGGTGTGAATACCACATCCCAGTGTGGGTACTACATCCCAATGTGTGTACTACATCCTGGTGTGGGTATCATGTCCCGGTGTGAATACCACATCCCAGTGTGGGTACTACATCCCAATGTGTGTACTACATCCTGGTGTGGGTATCATGTCCCGGTGTGAATACCACATCCCAGTGTGGGTACTACATCCCAATGTGTGTACTACATCCTGGTGTGGGTATCATGTCCCGGTGTGAATACCACATCCCAGTGTGGGTACTACATCCCAATGTGTGTACTACATCCTGGTGTGGGTATCATGTCCCGGTGTGAATACCACATCCCAGTGTGGGTACTACATCCCAATGTGTGTACTACATCCTGGTGTGGGTATCATGTCCCGGTGTGAATACCACATCCCAGTGTGGGTACTACATCCCAATGTGTGTACTACATCCTGGTGTGGGTATCATGTCCCGGTGTGAATACCACATCCCAGTGTGGGTACTACATCCCAATGTGTGTACTACATCCTGGTGTGGGTATCATGTCCCGGTGTGAATACCACATCCCAGTGTGGGTACTACATCCCAATGTGTGTACTACATCCTGGTGTGGGTATCATGTCCCGGTGTGAATACCACATCCCAGTGTGGGTACTACATCCCAATGTGTGTACTACATCCTGGTGTGGGTATCGTGTCCCGGTGTGGGTACTATGTCCTGGTGTGAATACCACATCCCAGTGTGGGTACTCCATCGCAGCGTGGGTCTCACATCCCGGTGTGGGTACCACATCCAGGTGTGGGCACTGCATCCCGGTACAGCACCATCACTGTTAGGGGTTCTCCATGGGTCCAGATCCAAACTAAATGCTGCTGAGTGTTGAGGATGGAGATGAAGCACGTAGGAACACAGGACAATGAGTTCCAGGGATGATTTTTTGGTTCTTGCCCAGTTTGGGACAAATGCGGTGCCCACTCGGCGTTGCCCGTGGGGTTTCCGTGTTTTGCAGGTGTGGGGCAGGGCTTGGCTGGGTGCTGAACCCCACACTGCCCACGCTGCCCACTCACCTCTGCCCCCACGCTGGCTCTGGCAGGGGTCAAATGAGGATGCTGCAGGGATGTGAGGACATGGGATGAAGCTGGATGCGTGGTTTGGACACTCGGGGTAGTGCAGAGCTGGGCACGTCTAGCAGATAAATGTGATTACATCTTCCTCAAGATATGGGGACATCTCCCCATCTGCCCCAGGCTGGCTTCAACCCCCTCAGATCCTTCCTCCCTCTGCAGCCACGTTTTTCCCCGTGTAACTTGTGGCAACTGGTCCTGGCTTGGTGCTCCTGACCATTGCATGGAGCACACGACCATGAGTGATTTCCACCCACGCACACAGCCCCATGGGGCCGTGCTGCTGGTTTGCCCCATGAGCCTGGGGTGAAAGTGTGTGTGGTGGGGTGGGGATGGACAACAGGGTGGCCAGTGGTGAGTGGGATGTGCCAGCGGTGTCCTAGGCTACCTCTTAGTAATCCTTGCCGGCCCTGCTGCCAGAGGGAGCGGTGCGAGAGGAACATCGATCACCCCGTCACATAAAAAGGAATTGGCAGTGACCTGCACCAGCTCCTGTTTGCGTTTATGAGGGAAAAGGAAAAAACACCTGAGATGTGCCAGAACACGGCGGAATATTCATCCGGTGGGCAAGGAGCACCCGGACCTGAGAGATAAACATGGAGCTTGGCCGCGTTCTCCTGCTGTGAGGAGGACAAGACGTGGGGAAGGTGCTGAGACCGAGAGCAAGGAGTTCACGTTCTCTGGATGGCACCTACCTCCCGCCACGGCCACGCTGTGGGGTAAGAAACGTGTTTTTCTGCAAAAGGCAGAAGATGTTTTTCTTTATGGTACGGAAACCAGGCGTTAGCTCCAGCCCAGCGCAGCCACAGGTGTTTCCATACAGGATTTTGCAGCTTCCTTAGCAAAGGTGTCTCCTCCCCAGCGTGGCTCCTCTAAGACCAGCTCAGGAGACACGTGTGTGGCTTCAGGAGCAGGTCTGGGACGTGTGAGGTCATACAAAAACCGAGTCTCTAGAACAGTCTGGTTGCACAATCTCTCTTGGCTTCACCATCCCTTGCTGCAGCTCTGGCATGTGGCTGATGTTGGATGGAGCAGCACGAGCAGAGCCCCAGATGTTTCCAGCACTGAGCACCACTGGCTGCACCACGGCTGCAGAAGATGCTCAGCTGCTTTCCATCCACCCAGGGTGGGCAATGCCCTGACCCAGAGGGCAGAGGGGACGGGGGGGGGTCCTGCCCCATGCCCAGATGCAGCCAGGCCATCGCTCTGCAGGGCTGGAGCACCCTTGGATGGTGGGTAA